AAGGCCTTAGGGGGGAAAGGGGAGAAATGATCTCAACAGGGAAAGGGGTGGAAAAGATCTTAGGGAGGAAAGGGAGAAGATCTGGGGGAAAAAAGGCCAACAGGGAAAGGGGGGAAAGATCTAAGGAAGGAAAAGCGGGGGGGAAGGCCGTAGGGGGAAAGGGGGGAAAGGATCTCAACAGGGAGAGGGGGGGAAAGATCTCAGGGAGGAAAGGGAAAAGATCCCAGGGAGGAAAAGGCCGTAGGGGGGAAAGTGGGGGAAAGGGAGGAACAGGGAGAAGATCTCAGGGGGGAAACGGCCTTAGGGGGGAAAGGGGGGAAAGGATCTCAACAGGGAGAGGGGGGAAAACATCTTAGGGAGGAAAAGGGAAAAATCAGAGGAAGACAAGGCCTTTGGGCAGAAAGGGGGAATGGATCTCAACAAAGAAAGGGGGGCAAAAATCTCAGAGGGGAAGGGGGCAAGGGGGCAATTCCAAAGGGACGCAAATAAGAAAGCAGGCCTGTAATGTCGGCGGTCTGAGCCGGAGGCGTTAAAATATATATATGTATAATATATATATATAATTGAAGTTGTGATTATTGACTGAGTTACTTCAAGCTGTATTTGTCTACTCGGTTTCATGGTCAAGCTTGTACTCTTTAAAAGCCGGTGACCCTAGCTGATATATTGTGATTCTCAAGTTTTGATCTGAAACCCGCTCTCGAATATAAACGCGCGGCTTTTCAGCCCGACCGGGGTGCCATTCCCACTGCGCAACTTGTAATCATGATATTGGCATTTGGAAAATGCATTGGGGAATTCTTTGCCTGCCGTCAATTGCCTCAGCGTGCTTGTGGTTGTTTGAAAACTAGATCCGCTGAAATGTTGAGAAAAGGCTTTCTGAAGTGACGCGCAGGCCGTAGGAAAAAACAACATGTGACTCTCATTCTGCCATTCGGGGAGCGTGCGAATAGCATTCGCCCGCTTTTTTCGCAACAGGACACGACGCTGTTTCCAAAGATTCAATAATTACACAGCTTGCGCGCGCGCTCGAGCTGTGCAAAGGAGAAGAGCAGTTATAGGGCTCAGCAGGCAGGTTCTTGCAGGCAATAATCCGAAAGACCATGAAATTTAATAAGCGAAACCACTTGGAAATTTAGCGCTGTTAAAACGCAAGATGTGTCAGAGCCTTCGTTGCACGGCAAGTGGCTGTTTTGAATTTGGTGTGCTTTGGCAACGAACAGTCCCAATCTTCAGTGCAAGTGGGGCGAAAACGTGTGTAGAATTGACGGGGCCACTTCCTATGCACCTACTGCGCGGCAATGAAAATCAAACACTGTTCATATATAAATATATATACTAATATGCATGTATAAATGACACTTGTCGTAAATAGAACTTTCAAACTGCGCATGGTAAAAGTTTGGCTCAGGCTCGAAGTCTGGTCAGTTTTGGCTGCCGAAGCAATGGACCATGAGAAAGCAGTGACAGACTTGAGAAACTGCACGGACATGGCCGCCGCTGCACTGCAGGCTGTTGTGATGTTCGACGACGTGCAGGATAAGTTTGATGGTCTCTCGATCACTGTTCGCGACAAGAGTTGCTTTGAAGGGTTCAGTGAGGAGGTGGCCGCAGCCGATGCTTTGATACGAAAAATTTGGGATCGCTCGCGCCGGGTAGAGAAGGCGCTCGCTGAACACGTCGTTGAGATGATGGATCCTGCCCGCCGAGCACAGGCCGGCGGGGCAGCCGCAGCTAACAGCAAGGAAGCGGCCCGCGGGTCAGAAAGTCCTTGACATGGCCTGCGGGCCTGTGGCCTGCGGGCCATCGCCGTGGCCTGCGGGCCTTGTTTTGGCCTGCGGGCCGGCCTGCGGGCCTTCTCATTGCGCGCGGGGCGGCGAGCCTCGTCGGCCTGCGGGCCTTGTCGTGGCCTGCGGGCCTTGTCATGGCCTGCGGGTCTTGTCGGCCTGCGGGCCTTGTCGTGGCCTGCAGGCCTTTCAGCGGGCCTGTCCGCCTGCGGGCCTTCCGGCATGTGGGCCAGGACTTCGGACTTGGCACGCTCAGACTGGCCTTGTCGTCGTAAGATTTTTATTATTGGAAACCAGCCGTCGCCTGACTTCTGCAGCTTCAACTCACGTGACTTGACACTTAGTTAGTCTTAGTTAGACACAAGCGCAAGCGAGTGTCAAAATAAATACGACCGACCTGCACTGCTGCGCGCGGCGAACGCGCGCGCCAAGTCTAAGCTATCTGCGCGCGTGCGCGCACTCCGGAGCGTCCATGACAGCGTCAGTGTCAGGCAGAGCAAGCTGAAGCTATCCATGCGCGCTCCGGAGCGGAGCGCGCGCGACCAAGCTAAATTAGGTATCGCGCGGAACCTTGCGTGGTACCCAGCACGCGCTCCGGAGCGTGCGAGAACGCCGCGCGTGCACTTTGCGTCTAGCTGGTTGGCGGGCGACGACCACCTCCCGTCAGGCGGGTGGAGCAATGCGAATGTCTGACGGATGGCATTGGTCGCCGCTGGACCAAGATTCGCTTAGGGTGGAAGACTAAGTTAAGACGGCGTTGGGCTCGACTCGTCCACGGGTGCCAGATCCAAGCAATGGCAGCACCCGCTGAAAATGACAGCCTGGGTGCTGCCGGGAAGGAATGTCAGCTGACGTTCTCGGTCGAGCGGTCGATGACTAGCGCTCAGCTGAGTTCTCCGCAGCTTCAGTTTCAACGCGCGAGATGGCGCGTGCATGTAAATTACAAGCAGCAATGCCAGCATAGAATGACATCCACAGTGTTTCAGTCAGCTTGCAAACCCCCTACACAATAACACATAGACAAGCATTGCTCAATGAATGGTATATACCCGCGCGGCCTTGCAGAAGTGCCTTGCCCAATGCAACCACGCACCCGAACCCGCTAAACCCGCCCGACCCTGCAGCCAGAAGTGCCCCCCACCCAACGCAACCACGCAACCGCTAAACAACGCCAAGATAAACGGCCCTGGTAGATGATTGAACAACCAGGTAAGAGGCCATCTATGTTTCAACCAAACCGACCAAGAAAGACATCTATGCAAAGATACCGTTGACCCATGTTTTTGCCGGCCAACAAAGCAACCCTCTTTAAGCAACCAGAGAAACCAGTTGCCAAGCGTCTGCGCAACTGTCACAGAGCAAACACAGCAGGAAATCAGACCAGACCTGGACCAGACTTAGATCCCCAAGTGAACTCTTTGCTGGTTGCAAAAAAGAATTAGAGAAAAACTAGACCACGGTTGGCCCGAAAGCGTCACAACCCCGCGATCATCCCCGCGCATCCTCTGTACAAGATATTCTGCACACGTTTCTCCGCGCAAGTGGTTTGTGCAAGTTACCCGCGCAGGTCCCCTGCGCAAGTTGCTCTGCGCAAGTAGCGCTACGCAAGCGCCTCTGCGCAAGTGCTCTGCGCAAGTTCCTCTGCGGAAATCTACAAACTTCTCTGCTTTGCGAGTTGCTCTGTGCAAGTTGCTCTGTGCAAGTTGCTCTGCGCAAGTACTTTCTGCAAGCGCTTCGCGCACGTGCTTTGCGCAAATGCTCCGTGCAAGGTGCTCTGTGCATGTTTCTCTGTGCAAGTTGCTCTGTGCAAGTCTCTCTACAAAAGTTCCTCTGCGCAAGTTGCTCTGCGCAAGTGCTCTGTGCAAGTGCTCTGCGCAAGTTGCTCTGCGCAAGTGCTGTGTGCAAGGTGCTCTGCGCAAGTGTTTTGCGAAAGTTGCTCTGCAAGTTGCTCTGCGCAAGTCTCCGTGCAATCGCGTTGCGCATGTGGTCTGTGCAAATTGCTCTGCGCAAGCGCTCTGTACAAGTTGCTCTGCGCAAGTTGCTCTGCGCAAGCTGCTCCGTGCAAGTTGCTTTGTGCAAATGCTGTGCGCAAGTTGCTCTGCGCAAAAGCTTTGTGCAAGTTGCTCTGTGCAAGTTGCTCTGCGCAAGTGCTCTGCGCAAATTGCTCCGTGCAAGTTGCTCTGTGCAAGTGCTGCCGGAGCTGCGGGAATATACTTTGCATACTACGTTTGTACTTAAAAGTTGCGATTTTGCAGCCGGAGCTGCGGGAGTGTACTCCGCGTACTACGTTTGTAATTACAAGTTGCGATTTTTAAGCCGGAGCTGCGAGAGTGCGCCGATCTGCGCAGAGGGTCGTGCGCACAAATGAAAAATCGTAAGAAGTCCTCGGTTTCTTAACATCAACCACGCCGATCTGCGCAGAGGGTCGCGTGCGCAGATTAAAAACCGTACAAAGTCCTCAGTTGTTTAACATCAACCACGCCGATCTGCGCAGAGGGTCGCGCCGGCAGATCAGAAATCGTACAAAGTCCTCAGCTTCTTAACATCGACCATGCCGATCTGCGCAGAGGGTTGATGTTCGTAGAGTGCTGTCGGCCCTACCCGGCCGCCCTAAGAAGAGAAGAAAGGAATTTAAAACTCCTCTCGTGAGAACTCTCATGAGCAGTGCTCCTCGCCGGTGACTCTCACGAGCATTGCTCCTCGCAAGTAACTTTCATAAGCATTGCTCCTCGCCAGTGGCTCTCACGAGCATTGCTCCTTGCAAGTGACTCTCATTGAGCATTGCTCCTCGCCAGTGACTCACGAGCATTGCCCCTCGCAAGTGAATCTCATTGAGCCAGTGACTCTCACGAGCATTGCTCCTCGCCAGTGACTCTCACGAGCATTGCTCCTCGCCAGTGACTCTCAATGACTCTCATGATGTGACTCTCATGATGACTCTGTACAATGACTCTGCGCCATGACTCTGTGCTATGACTCTGCGCAATGACTCTCATGATGATGATGACTCTGTGCAATGGCTCTGATGATGATAACTCTTTGCAATGACTCTCATGATGATAACTCCCACGAACCCAACGGAAGAACCCTTCGCCATGCTTTTCGGGAACCACTGGGCAAAAAGTTAAGTCCGGCAATGCAACGAGGCGTAGCATCTACGCTTTGATCGAAGGCTCTGAGCCATCTACCGAAACAAACCTGAGGCGCCCAGACGAGGGCAGGCGCATCTTCCGGACCGCGCGCTCCTGTTACTTCCGGAGTGGGTTGGCCAAGAAAAACTCATTTTTGTTGGCTGCCACACAAATGGGCTTTCCAAACAGTGATCAAAGTCCAGGAACTCACTCAGAGTGGTGCTTCGCCTTTCGGTTGGTTGGTAAAGGGCACTGAAAAGGAAACAAGCTGTTTGAGGGACCTTTTGGAGAAGAACGGCAATGAATTTGCATGGGGGGCCCCTTCAAACGTGGTTGGACACATCTTTTGTCCACCCAAATGATGTCCAGAAAAGGGTCCCCCGCTTGAAATTCCCACATATTGACCCAGTAAAACATGTCAATCCATTCCGGTCTCCCTTCCAAACTTAATGCTTGTTGAGGGTCGATCGCCCTTGCCTGGCAAGCCAAAACTTAATTTCCTGGTGGTCGCAGGTCTAATTTGTGTAGGCATGGCAAAGCCAGTTTCCAAAAGGTCACAGGGGCGATTCAGTCTCACCCGAGACCAGCCATGCTATATTCACCATCTAGTCCCCAATTCTTGGACACTCCCACATGTTTAAGTTTAAAACGTCGGATGCGCTTGCAGGCTGTACTTCACCGGAAATCAGCAATCTCCAAGTAAGAAACTTTCATCAGCGGTTCCTGGTTCAATTGCCCTTAGTTTGCCCAAAGGTGTCTTTCATCAACATTCGCCACATGCAATGCAATGCAGTTGCTTTCCGACCTGGGAGCCTCATTTTTCCGGGTTTCTTGTTAGAGAGTGTTTAAATGAACAGCAACATGGGAAGTCAAACCCCTTTTGCGTGGGCTCCCCAGTTATGGGATCAACCCACTTGCTAATGCCATTTCAGTCCGCAAAGTTGTATACACCAAAATAAGAAATTAGGAAACTGGATGCCCAAGTAAAGGGCCTTCGTGTTAAGTTACCTAGCTCAAAGTAAAATGTACGCTTGCTCTGCATGGGGCCCGTGCTAGCGAGTTAAAGCCTTAAACAGAAAATGCGTGCCCTACTCACTTCCTGAGTTCATGGGCCAAAACAAGTCCAAACATTAAGTTTGCCACCAAGATAATCAGTTTTCCCACACAGTGTCCAGTCCATGAGCTCAGAAAAGTGAGCCCTTAGGACGTCCAACGTTTCTGCTCCTCTTTCTTGCGCTCGGCGATCTCCTTCGCATCTTCCAGCATCTTAATGGCCTGGCGGGTCTTCTCGCAAGCTGATCACCCACACCATAGGGAGTCACTTGGATGGGCGTCAAGCATCGGGATTCGTCCACTGGGCCCCATACGTGCTGCCAATCACGAAATCTCACCCCCAAGCCGTCAATGACCCCTATCCAAAGCCCCAACACCAAACCGCCAACACTCCAACCCGCCCCCCCCCCCCAAAAAAAAAGAAAAAGAAAGAATGAAAGAGGAAAAAACACAAAATTCAAGAAACACACAACAAACGACCTAAAGCCAGCACCTCAACCCCCGGTTCACATCCCGTCGGCTGGCCTTCATCCGGTTCCCCGGGTTCCGGCGCTTCGAGGTCTTCGGGGCCTCCCCGACGAAGGGGATGGCGTTGGAGCCGTAGCCCTCCCCCGGCGCGTAGGGCGCCACGCCCTCCGGCAGCGCCGGGTCCACCTCGCGCAGATGGCACCGGACGGATGGCAGCGGTTTCTTGGCTGTCCAGAATTGAGAAGGAATAAATAAGTTGGTACCGGTTCTTTTTTCTGTCGGTTTTAGTAGAACCCTCCCCCCAAAAAAACAGTGTGAATGCGGGACCCTTTGGTGGACATGTGATTCATGCCCACCACTGGGATGGTTCCAACTCTGAAATTTCATTGCCAATTCAACCAATCGCGGTGCGGGACGCCTCTGCACTTCCTTTTCGACCAGGGTCAACCAAAGGTCACTCCACAAACAGTCAATAGCGGGAGGGTTGGTGCTGTGGTGCTTAGCGCCAAAACTCACCAATTGTTGCTCTTTGCTCCTTGGTTTGCGACAAACTGGCCATTGATTTGCTGCTCATTCAATCCCTGAAGCCATTTGGGTGCCTTTTTTTCGAGGGCATCCTTCGGGTTCCACTCTGCTGTGCTGCTCTACATGATGATGGTGACACCCAACTGAGTTGAGCCACGGTCCAAGTTGCGCGTCTGTTTCCTCAAGATGACATGAACAAATCAGTGTCCCCTGATTGTGATTGAAATTAGGAGCTCGTTCCCTGTCCCAAGTTTTAGGGGTTGGTTCCCCATTCTCTTCAGCCATCTTTCGCTTGGTGTTGGACGGTTTCCTGAAAAGATTCGGATCCCTGAACAGACTGGGGCAGCTTCCATTTTGACTGTAGACAAGGGGGCGGGGTTCTCAAAACTCGTGGAACCGGGGTCCCCGGGGTGCCGCGCCAAATCCTTGTGTCGCACCTTGCCCTTCTTCACCGTCATCACCTGCGCCTGAGAATCGAAGCCGAAGCCGCACGTGTTGCGAGGGATCCCAAAGAAATCAATGCAACTCTTTGCTCAAAGAGTATGTCCGAGAAAAAAGGGGAAACAAAACAAAAAACGGAAGTCTCCAAGCCACCGTGGCCCCGGACAGCAAAAAAATCCAGCTTTGCTGAAACACTCCCAGGCGTCCACCCTCACCCGTGCCACCCCCGCACCTCCCCAGAGACGGCCAGCTCTTGGCTCTCCTCGTGAGTTGCCAGTCGCCAGCCACACGGGAAGCCAAGTAAAGCCTGAACGGGATACCCTGGAAATGCCTGGAGCCTCCATGACCCCTTAAAAATTGGGTCATTACCCAAAATCATGGGGTCATGACCCCCATTTTTAGGGGGTCACGGAGACTCCAGGTGTGGCTTTGCCAAGTTGGGGAGATCCGGGTTCCTGTTCAACCTACAGAAGACATCAGAACATCTTCATCAAGCAGCGATCGATGTCCTGGCCATCGAGGTACTCCAGAGCTTCGGCCTGTTCCCCGCGCCGGGAAATGCTCGGCACGTGGGAGGATGCTGCACCCCCTCCCAAAGAGGACTTGCTTGAAATCGGAGAATCAAGCGGCACAAAGGAGATCAACGCTGTACGTCAAGTCAAGCAAAAAGAACTGATGTGGGTATGTAGAAATATGTTTGGGATAACCCCAAACATGGCGAAATTTGCCGGTTGGTCTCTCTCTCTAAGCCACACACACAAACACCCACACACACACAAATAAACAAACAAAACAACCAAACACACAAACAAACAAACAAACAAACAAACAAACAAACACACGAACCAGCATACAACCAAACAATCTCACAAACAAACACAGAAACCAACACACAAACAAACACACACCCAAACAGACAAACAAACAAACAAACAAACAAACAGACAGACAGACAAACAAACAAACAAAACAAACAAAACAAACAAACAAACAAAACAACCAAAACACACGAACCAACACAACACACAACAAACCAAGCAAGCAAGCAAGCAAGCAAACAAACAAACAAACAAAACAACCAAAACACACGAACCAACACAACACACAACCAACCAAGCAAGCAAGCAAGCAAGCAAACAAACAAACAAAACAACACAAACCCAAACAAACAAACAAACAAACAAACAAAAAACAAACAGACAACCAACCAACCAACCAACCAACCAACCAAACAAACAAACAAACAAACAAACAAACAAACAAACAAACAAACACGCAAAACAAACAAACAAACAAACAAACAAACCAAGCAAACACACAAACAAACAACCAAACAAACACAAACACGCAAACCAGCACGCGACCAAACAAAACACACAAACAAACTCGCAAACAAACAAGCAAGCAAGCAAACAAGCAAGCAAACACAGACACACACACACACACCAAAAACACACATGCACCCGAAACACGCCAGCTCAGCAATCCCAGGTACTTTTTTTTTATTCAGGAACCCACCCCTGAGTTGGATACGACCAGCAGCACTCAAGCCCGCAAAAAGCCAATGCTTCAAGTGTGCCTCCGTGACCCAGGTTTGATGAAACTTCCCTTGCGACGCAAACACACGCAGACACCGTTCTTTGATCCGTTGGGTTGCAGCCTCCTTTTTGTGAGGCAATCCCAACCCCCCCCCCCCTCCACAACCTAAAAAAACACACACACACACACAGTACAACAGAAGTTGCTGGGACAAGCCAACCTAAGCTCTCTGGCCACAATGTTCCACGCGCATCGCCTCTTTGCTCTGCACCTTCACCTCTTCGCCTGGCAAAACCGAAAAGCGAATCTGAACCCAAGCGCGCAGCGCCAACGGGTCCTGGTCGACCAGAAATGAGAACGAGAAAGACGTGAGGGTGCCACTGCCCTGTTCGCTTGGCGCGAGAGCTGAAAATCTAGGAAATCCAGTAGAGGCTAGAACAAGGGTACCAACTTATTTCTGTAGTCTATTGTAGTAGGGGAACCCTCCCACGAAAAGGAGTAGAAGGGCACACTGGGGGACCTAGAAATGGTTTAAGTGGTTTGGGGAGCGAACTTTGTTTGTCTTGTGGGTATGGTGGATGTTCATGGTTCAAGTATCAGAACACTGGAGAACCTGTAATTGACAGCTCGTCCGCGTGTTGGGGGGTTGAGCTGATTGTGTGCGCATCGAATATTCTACAAAGAGTCCAGCAATCATGGAAGCTTGGAATGTGAAGGACGCCTACAAACAAACATCTTTGCGTTTGGACCTAACACACACTTTCAAAAAACCCACAGTAACATTGATAAGAACCCCCCTCCCTATCGACCAGACCTCAACGCAGAGCTGCGACACTCAAGCCATAGACCTCCCGTTGCCACATTCTGCCCTGCACTCTCCATGTAGCTAGAATCAAAAGGGGCACTTTCACAGGGGCGGAAAAGGAGTACCATGGAACTGTGATTCCACTGCCCCTTCCTTTTTGGGAAGAGACCAGGCCAGTTCCCGAAGAGCCCAGATTGTTTTTGTTGCAACAAAGGTATATTTGGTAGAAGAATCCGCTTCCAGATTGGTTCATCTTGAAGCCTTTAGGGAACAACGCCTCATGCGAGTGAAAACACGTCCCGCCTGCCCTCCGAGTCAGCCGACTGTTTCGGGCGCTTCGGGTCGCGCGTCTCAATGTCCAAGCAAAGGCTGCAGCGGCGAAACTTCGGCCCCAGGGCCTTCGATGGCAAGATCCGCGGGTACGGGGATGACGGAAACCATGGGATGCTATTCTAGGGGTTGATGTTTTATGCTTCTCAGCCATCGTTCTTTTTCTTGAGGTGACCATGCAATCCTCTTGGCTAGTGACCCGTCCCTGTCAAAGAACAGATCGCAACGCTGGTTGGTGGTCCATTGAAAATACCTGGACTCTCCGTCATTTTTGGTAATGACCCCATTTTTATACGGGGTCATGGAGACTCCAGGTACGCATTGTCCCAACAAGCAAACGGAACCAACGTGACGCCACAGAGATTCCTAGAAGGAAGCAACAGGGGAAGCAATACCCAGCCGAATCGCATTTGGCCAACGATCAACCGCACTTGGCCAAAAAGGCCCTGAGAATAAAACTTTTGCAGTAACTGGACTAGACTAGCCATCCTCCTAACAAACCACCTGTGCGCACCAAATGGGTAAATCCATATAAGGTCCATTCATGTTGATTCGCTTTGGACGAACAGGAACCTCTTGAGGTTGGTTTACTTTTGGTTTCCTCTTAAAACGATCCTAACAGGGGAACCGGCCTTGACTTCAAAGGATTTGCCTCGGCATTTACCTTGGCCCATATCTTTGGCAAACAGAAAAGGAAACTGCCTCTATTCGATATCCGCCGACATCGGAGGCGTGTCGGATACTTAAGAGAGGATACAGGATAGTGTGTGTGACATTAAGGGCCTAGAGCCACAATGGTGTTGCGTGGAGATCAGTGAGTCCGAAAAACAAACACAAAACAGACACAAATTTCTTTTGATCTCAGCACTGAATTAATGTAGAATTGGCTTCTTGGCCTTTGACTGTAGCCATTCAAGTGTGTGCCTTGGCACGCTGACCCAAGGATGGACTCGTGGCAGATGTTGTTTTCCATGCGAACGCAGCGGTAGGCGACACTTTTTTCCCGCCCAGAAGCTATCGAGGAACAAAAATGGGATTGCTTGGCACCAGGCTGGCCGCAGCCGAGGAACTCATGTAGTTGTGACATCTGGGGAAAATTGATCACGGTGTTTTTGGGACTGCTATGAGTCCGGTTCTTGCTAGCCTGCGGCCACATGCTTAAGTTGCTCCTTGCTTCATGGCACATCATTGCTGGTCCTTCTCCGCAGCCACTGTAAGCAATGGGACTCAAGCGTGCCAAGGTGTCGTGGCAAATGGGATGGGAGATCCGCTTTCGCTCGGAGAATCCAAAGGCAAAAAAACCAAATCGTACGAGAGGTACGAAAGTTACAAGCACTGCCGCCATATGTGGGTCAGTGACAAATAACATATATGTCTTGTCAGAATTAAAATACTATATTCATCCCTTTTCTGCGCGGATGAAGTGTCTTTGTTGGCAAGTGGAAAAGAAAACTCTGTACTCATTGCGAATACCTAATTGTATCAAAAGATGATGCACAATGCTATGTACATGCAGGATCAGTGTGAAACTATTGATCTCTCACTGAGTAGTCTTGCTGATGGTGAGGATCAATTGGTCGGTATCCGTGGCGCCATTCTCGGTTGGAAAACGCATCAACGCTTCCACGGATGGTTGCTGGTTCCCGATTGACTGTAGTAGTCATAGTCACGCCAGGTCGAAGAACCATAGCCCTTCCATCCCTGTTGGTCGTAGCCATAAGCCGTGTTGTGTCGCCAGGAACTTTGCTAAATGATCTCCTTCTTCCTCTGGTTGAGTTCCTTAGCTCTCTGGGTATCGCGTTCCTTGCTTTCGGATCGGCTAACGGGTATAGACCATGCGCGGGCTGTGTGAATCGGAATCACATGGGCCATTCAGAAACATTTCGTTTGTAATGTGCTTGAAGCGCTCTGTGGATGTGACCTGGTAATCGGAATTGATGAGTGAGGTCTTGTCCTGCATGGTCTTCTTCTCCTCATTGGTCATGAAATCAATCTCTGATTTTCGGAATCGATGTTGGATGTCTGTTTTTCCCCATCCAAATACGAATGTCATCATGCAGTCTGGGAATGTTCGATCACTGCCGGAACCAGTCTTCATGCAGAGGTGGTGACGAACAATAACCTTCAGTAGCCATGGCATAATCCAATCTGTCTTCAATGGGCATCCCGAGTGTCTCGTTCCATGTGTCTTGGTATGTCTGCATGACGTGGTTCACCAGTCCGTATTCAGGATTGTAGACCCACTGCAATCTGCTGTACGTGTCGGCGGATTTGTTGGCATTGCATCGCATTGGTACGTAGTCACGAGTGGAGTGATTCCATTCTGAAAATCATCTCTGACTCTGGCTGCTCCATGAGTGATGTTCGGATGGATGTGGAAGACCCCTACGGGAGCATATGGAAGTCCGGCTCGAAGAATGTGTCGACTGTCGAAGTCAGTATTCGGAGCCTTGGTTGACTTTGGCAACGCCCCTCGGAATTCATTGCTTTGGTCGACTACCACGATTTCCTTGTTGTGCCCATATGTATGGATGGCAGTGCGAGGAGGCAATCTCTGGCCGACATACTGCTTGAGTTCTCCTTGAACATGTGAGGTCCGGCGTATCATATTCGGGATCTGTGCAATCAACCTCGGTGCTGAAGAAACATCTGAACATGCCGAATGTGGTTCCCCAGTTTTGGGATCTTGTCGGGATGTATCTTGCCAAGAGCTCGACTCTGGCGTGCTCATTGACACGGATAAAACATGCGATTGGCCTTGCAGACCAGGATTTGATCACAATGCCCGTGTATCCTGAGAGGATAAACGAATGAGTTCCTTGCATTTTTCGCCTTGGGGGTCGAGAAATGCGTCCGCTTCATTGAAGCATATGATGCGAGCACTGTTGTGCAGGAACATTCGTGTGCTCGGTCTGGCATGCTTTTCAACTCTCTGCCGTCCAACTTCGTATTCCTCGTGAGGTTCCCGTGGTTCACTGTGAGTACGTTGATGGTCATGGATGAGCAGCAGTCTCGTGCCTGTAACTGGTCCATCGCTGGCTTCTCGGTTGCTCGCATCAAGGATCCAACAAAGTCCGTATATGCCTTGATCACGTCAGGATCATCTTGTGTCCTTAGAGATTTCAGTCCAAGTGGCAGTCGAATCGGATATCCGGATGCTGGTTGTATGTCTGTACTCTTCCATGGATGGCTTGTTGCTGTGGTGGCAAAAGTAGAATACTTCTTCCTCAACGTGTGCATCAGGATTGACCAATCTCACATTGGTTGAGGTCTCGGTACCTTCGCATGAAGTCTTTGAAGCTTCCTTTGGCGGTCTTGAGTTCTTCTTCCACTTCAGTTCAGTTTTACTCATGTCTCGGTCGAGGTAGACCTGCTGGAATTCCTCGTTGAATTCGGCGAGATTGTCAGGATTGATGTACTCCATCGTGACCCTGTGCCTGACGGTTCCTTCCCTGGCGGGTTCCATTCTCGGTTCATCATCATCGTCCTTGTCAGTGGAATGCCATCGTTTCTTGGTCTCGGTGGATGTGTTCTTTTGAGATTGGTCCTTGTCGGATTTGTTAGCATTGACATGAGCGAAGAAATCCTGTGCAAATTCTTGGATCTTGGCTACATACTGTTCCAGATCTTCTTTGTTCAGGGTCTTCTTCATGATCCAGTAATTGGTCTTCAGATACTGCAGCGCGTTCCTCAGTCAGCCTGATGCCTTGGTGATTGTCCTTGATGAAGCCAAGGATCAACAGGTGGCTCACCGTCGAGGATTGCGTCGTCAATGCTTGCGAGATGGACATGGATTCTCCCTCGCGGGGTCGAGCTTTTCCCTGGCTTGATTCCTTGTTCCAGGATGTTGGTCGTTGTAAGTCGCGTGGAACATAACAGTGATTGGCTTCTTGTCGAATGGCGTGATCTTCCTCTCCTGTTCCACGGATTCAGGCGCCGGTCGTCTCATCCCATACTTTGGCTGCGTTGTCCCTTGATCCGCACGCTGCTTGTTGGATCTTCAAGGATGGGTGTAGTTGCCCAATGGACTCAATCTCAACGGGTCGCGAATGACCACTGCAGCATCTCACATAAAGTTCCATAGGCGTCATTGAAGAATGCTGCTCCATCAGGTCGGAGAGCTTCGTATGCTGCTTGTGATGTGAGGTTCTCGATCCACATGTTCTTGGGTACAATGGCTCCCTTCCTTTCTCGTTCTTGACATGTGCCGTCAGAGGCCGGAAATACAAATGCGATCTCAAATCAGGACTTCCCATATTTCGGAAACATTCTCATCAAGAAAATGAGGGGCTTGTTGCCCAGCAAATTCCTTGCATGGCTGATCCCGCACAATGCTCGCAGGATCCGTCAGGATTGACTCGGATGTCTCTTTTGAGCTCTCTGGTTCTTCTCTCCTTTAGATCATGTCGTAGGCATCGGAAAAACAATCGGCTCAATCTCTCGACTCTCCAGAGGATGATGTGGACAATCTGCTGCGCCTTGGATTCATCAAGGGAGAAGTACCTGCAGATGGATTCTGCATTTGTGATGGTCCTTCTCATGTCGTTCTGCTTGTTGCGGCATACCATCGCAATGATGTCGGTTCCATAATCATCCGGATCGGCGTTGGTATGGCAACAAATGCTGTAGATCTTCTTGATGTAGCCCATCCTCTCAGGCTTGTTCGATGTGATCCATCTGGATTGATCAATGGATGGAGGAGGAGCCTTCATCATTGGTCTTCTAAGCAATGGTGCCCGGTTGTCGGGATGGTTGTCAGACTCCGTTTCCTCGTCGATGGCGCTCTGAGACGATGCCTGTACCTTCGGTGTCAATCGAAGTGTCGGTGGATTCATTGGCATGGCCTTCTGCTTCGGCTGAGGGCGTGCCCCGGAGGGTTGCTCCTTCCTCTTCTCTTCTTCGATTCGGATTCTCGATCATAATCTACCTGGTCCATGTCGACATGCTTGTTCGCCTGAGGCTTGGATGATGCCGGATCTTCCTCATTCATCTGCTCCATGGGGATGTCATCAAGTTGTTCTTTCTCATCATGGGCAGGAGAATCCTTCAATGGTGATGCCCTTCTCTT